CCCCCCCCCACACTTGACCAGAAACAGCTCCGTCCCCTGAGTCTTCCACATTGCAAGCAAGCATTCGATGGGGTATTGATCTGGACTTTGTTCAGTGTCCGAGATAGATGAATCAGACTCAGAAGGTGAGACCGGCCAACTAGAATCATCGTCTCTGTGATCGTTGCAGGGTGTGGAAGATACCGCGGTAGCGGGCATGTTGCTGTCCAGAAGCACTGGATCAGCAGTGACAGTGCACTAGGTTCCCATGATGGCAACCTCAGCGCCTGCAAACTTCCCATCATCGAACCTCGGTGTTCTTTAAACTTCAACTTCTGTTCTTCTTCGGTGGATTCGGGTTTCAATTCGTTGTTCTGCCCTTCTGAGGTACTGTAAAAGTCTTGGGCTTCGGAATGCTGTGCACATCGTCAAGGTGGCGCCACAGCTCGTTTGCTGAGTTGCAGGAGACGGGACATAGCCCATGGGGGCACGCAAAGTTGCCTGGGCCTCGACTTGCAAAATATTGCGCCAAACAAGCCGAAACGTAGCGCTGCCAGCACGTTTTGTCTGTAAATTGTTTCATCCGTTTGTGAGCCGGCATGTCCTGCCTTCCCAGGTGAACTGGACAGTACCCTGCACAGGCTACAGCGTGACGGAAAACCATGGGAGTGTTGTTCGCCTAATGGCGCGGGCAGATCCTTTGGAAGAAGGAGCTTTCCGACGTCATCTCGACGAAGGCTTTGAAGCCCTTGCCTACCGCATGGTGCATCGCTTCGGCCGGTGAGGGTGCCAGCCTCATCCGGAGCCGTGGCGGTACCTTCCTGCAGTAGAACGGGTGCTCTGGTGCTTTGCGTCGTCCGCATGAGCAGTCAAGTCGCGCGTCGTCATGATTGAAACGCTCGTGGTAGTCGGCGAAGTCTCCGTGGCGAGATCTTGCCGCAAGGAGGCTGTGGAGCGTTGCCCTTGGGAGCGCCAGCTCTGGAGGGCAGCTTGTGGTCGCCTCGAGGTTCAGAGTCTTGTATGACTCTGGCGCTTCAGTTGACCACCAAGCCTTGAAGGCGTCTCTCGATTCCTGCCTCGCAAGTCGGCGCAGGTGGGCCAGCGATGGCATGGCTTCTGATGGTTCAGGCTGCAAACAGCCCGCTTTGGCGAGGCCGTCAGCCTCCTCATTGCCCGGTATGTTGGTGTGTCCTGGTATCCAGCGGACCTGCACGTTTCCGTGCGAGGTCGCCAGTTCTTGGAACTTGGTGAACTTGTCCTGCGACGAGTCGGCTGGGTTGCCTCGCAGACAACTGGCTACAGCGAGATTGTCGGTACAGACCACGACTTCGCTTCGAGTGTCGCCCAGGCGGAGAGCGGCCCGAAGGCCTTCTAGGGCGCCGGTTGCCTCAGCATCGAAGACTTCGGATGGGCCTAAGCTGCCCGATCCTTGGACTAGCGATTGCTTATCCCGGTGTACTGTAAAGCCGAATCCCACGGCGCCGTTTGGGAGTTGCGACCCGTCGGAGTAGACGATGAGCGTGGCTGCGGCGGCGTTTCCAAGCCATTCGAGGAAGTCACCAGCGGTTTCGGCTTTGTTTGCAGTCTGAAGAGGGCTGGCTTCTGTGTCGGAGTAGCGGCGCAGCAGGAGCGCCGGGCGATGGCATTTCGGGAGGAGTTGGTCGGTGCGTTGCAGCCTCGACTGAAACGTTGGCTTGACACGTCGGGTCGAGCTGGGGTTCCGAGTGTGCCGCGCTCGAGGCGGTTTCCGCGATGCCCTTTTAACAAGGGGATGGCGCCCGTCGAGAGACTTCAGGCGTGCCGCGAAGCGGATCTGCTGAGCGGCGAGTGCGATGTGCGCAGGCGGCGTGCCAGCTTCGCGGTGCATGGCTGGGATCGGGGTCGTCTTCCACACAGGAAGGGCAGCTCGGACGGCGTGTCTCAGGACCTTGTCCAGGCGTAGCACGAGGTGCTTTACTTGCGTGGACACGATGCGGTTCGGGTTTGCAACGCTAGGCGCCACCTCTCCGGGATACCACGCCTCTGCGCCGTAGAACAAGGTCGGCTCGACGCATGCCTTGACTGCTCTGCGGACGGCGCGCGGAAGAGGGCCGTGTTTGGTGTTTGCGATGCCTTTGAGGAGGTTGGCTACTCGCCTGGCTTTGGCGGACCACTCGTCCACATGGAATTTGAAGGAGAGCCTCCGGTCGAGCCAGAGCCCGAGCCAGCGCATTGCGTTTCCAGGGACGATCTCGGTGCCGCCTTGGAATACGGAGGGCCGGGAGGGGCTCTTCTTCCGAGAGAAGTGCATCACCTCGGTTTTGTCCGGGTCGAAAGTGACGCCGTTGGCGGCACCCCAAACCAGGAGTTCTTCCATGTCACGAGACGCGAGGGCAGTCGTTTCTTCGAGCGTTCGCCCGGTGCGCAGCATTGCCGTGTCATCTGCGTAGCCGAATCGACCATCGGAGTTCCCAAGGCGGTAGATAGGGGCGATGTACAGAGCGAAGAGGATTGGCGATACAGGTGAGCCTTGCGCGAGGCCGCATCGAAGAGGCGACGCTGGCGTTGTGACGTCCTGGAATCGGATTGCGGCCGAGCGGTCTCGCATGAAGGAGCCGGCCCATCTGACGAGATGCGGTGGCCACCCTTGTTGCCGGAGTCGGAGGATAAGTCGATTACGCATGACGGTGTCGAAAGCTCCTTGTACATCCATTGTGACTAGCGTAGCGACTTGGCCATTGGCTAGAGCTGTTTCGATATCGTGCACAAGGGCGGCGACTAGGTCGACCGCGGATCTCTTTGGTAGGGCGCCAATCTGCTGTGGATGCAGGATACCGTATCGTATCGAGGCCCAAGCCAGGCGACGAGCGATAAGCCTTTCAAGTCCTTTGCCGAGACATGAGAGCAGTGATATTGGCCTCCAGGCCCGTGTCTTGGAAAGATCACGCTTGCCGGGCTTTTCGATCATGACCACTTCGGCCTCCTTGAACCTCAGAGGGTGATAGCCAAGGGACAGGCACTCCTGGTCAAGGCGTTGGATGTGGCAGCGTAGAGCGGGCCATGCCGTTCGGAGCAGACGTACCGTGATGTTGTCCGATCCTGGCGACGTGTTGCCTGTGCGCAGCAGAGCGTCCTGGACTTCCTCAATGGGGACATTGGGCGAGAAGGGGATGGGTAGGGTGTCTTCTGACGGCGTCCAGGGGTCGGAGATGTCGTCGTCTGCAGTTCTGCGCTCGAGAGTAGCGTGCCGTAGGGCCTCGGCCTTGCCGATTTGAGTTTCAATGGTTGTTTCGCCGACCTGTAGAGGGGGAGGGCGGAACACCCCGGGTCGCTTCAGCCATCGCGTGATCTTAAAAACGTCTTTGTCGCTTCGCACGCCATCAATCAGTTCGCGCCAGTATGCCCGCTTCGCGCGTCGCACCACCCGTCGCAGGTCGCGGCGAGCGAGCTGTACGTCGCGGTTGAAGCCGAGTGGGAATGCTCGTCTGACGCAGCGGAGCTCTGCGATAGATGCTGCGCATTCCTCGTTCCACCACGGGGCCTTCCGTGGTCTACGTTGAGATCGCCGGCCAGCCGCACGAGCTGCGGATTGTATGAGGTCTATAATTGCATCCGCGAGCCGGTCAAGATCTACGACCGTCGTTGCTGCCTGGGGAATAATTGTGGCCCCTGATACAACCAGCTCCGTGAACCGCTTCAGTTCCTCGTCGCTCGCGAGAAGAATCTTTCCAGGCGGGAGCGTTGCCGGCTTAAGAGCCGGGAGAGAGATGCTGAGGGTAAAGTGGTCCGAGCTCGTGGCAAGGTGGTCCTCCACCGTCGCCTCGGCTAGGAGAATATTCGAGAAGGCCAGGTCTATGGTATTGCCGTGGGCGTTCGTGGGTGTGTTAATCGGATTGAGGAGATCTAAATCGTTTTCTGCGGCCCATTCTGCGATGATGCCGCCGTGGCTGCGGGAGGGGCCAATCTGCCACGTGTGATGCCTCGCGTTAAAGTCGCCTGCGATGATACATTGGCTGGGAATCGGCCATGCGAACAGGACTTCGAGGGCGGTGTCCATGTTCGGTTCCCGATATACGTTCACGAGGGTGACGCCATTGACCACGAGCCAGAGAATGTCTCGGGAGAGAGCGGGACGTTGCTGGTCCGCTAAGAGTCTTGCACCCCGGCGAATATATGTCATGACGCGCGGTCGGGTGTCGATGTCTTCCCAGGTGCTGATCGGTGAGTAGGTGTCGTACGCTGGGTGTGTCTTGGTGAGGCAGCGGGAGTCGCGGACTTGCGTCCAGGGCTCCTGTAGTAGTATGACCTCGTATCGTTCTGCGTCAGCAAGGGCGAGTGCGCAATCGTGCGAGGGGCCATTCTTGCCGACATTGGCTTGAAAGACCCGGAAGAGTCGCTTGTCACGATGCTGTCGTCTAGGTCGTCTGTTCATAGAGACCGGTCTGGGGAGGCAAGGCGGCGCTTCTTTGGCGAAGTGGTTGGCTGAGGGCTGGAGGTGCGAATCTCAGGAGCCGGAGTTCCGAGGAGGCACGTGGAGGAGAGCGACGGCGTGGGCGTGGAGACCGAGGGAACTGGGCTCAGCGAGGATCTCGCGGGCGAGGGGCTTGCGGGTGGTGCTCGGCCATTCCCAACGTACTCGTTCGGTTCTTGAGACATCTCGATGCTCTGCCTCACGGGCGGAGAATTACTTCTTTCGCTGCGTGCCGACGAGGCTCGAAGGAGTACCGAATCGGCGGAGTTCATGGGCGTAGCTGAAGTGGGTTTGATGGGGCTGGCCGATGCTGCAGTGTTTTGCCTACCGCTGGAGGAGCTTTCGGAGCTTGGAGTCGGCGATGCTTGGCTGTTCGGGGCAGCTGGAGCTGCCGAAGAGGCGGAGGGTGTTTCGCTAGGGCGTGATGCACTATTTTCCCTCTCGGGCTCCGGTGTGATTGCGTTGCTTGTCGTCGGTGTGCTCCGGCTGGACGGGGAGGTAGTGTCGCTCGCTGTCGCTGAGTCGGATTCGAGGCTCGTGGACTGATCCCGCGGTGGAGATGCTGGTTTCGCTGTAAACTGCTTGAACAGTCGTTTGCCCATGATTTGGACAAGTTTCTTCTCGGGCCTATTGAGGCTGTGGAATGCTCCGTTCACCTTCTTGGGGCGAGCCGGGCACTGGGGAAAGTCAACCGCGTGCGGCCCGTGGCAGTTGGCGCATTGCTGTGTGGCTGTACAGGTATCCTGGGCGTGGCCAGTCTTGCCGCAGTTCTTGCAGCGTGCCTGGCGTCCGCAGCTGTAGCGTGAATGGTAGTCCCAGCAATTATCACATTGCTTCGGCGGGTTGGTCTTGACGATGAGTCTCGCATAGCTCGTCGTGTCGAAAAGGCGCCAATAGTGCTTGACCTCCTTGGCAAAGGATATGATCAGGGTCCGGGTCGGGCGCTGATCCGAGTCCTGTTTCGCAGTTATCACCCTCTCCGGGGTTTGGCCGGTTTGCGTGGCGACCTCGTCTCGGATCGCCTTCTCGTCGTCGATGGCTTCGCCAAAAATGTTATTGAAGCGGCGTGGGCAGCCTTGGACCACATACGTGTACCACTCTTGTCGCTTTTCAACGATCTGTGCGGAGATGTCAGGAGCCCACTCGGCCTGCCGTTCAGTCAGAAGATCCCTGGTTGCCAAGTCAGCGGCGCGGATGGCCCATCCGGTTTTGCAAGGGTGGGCTTCCGGGATACGGCTCCGGGCGATGCCGAGCTTGTCGGCGATGTGGGTCCGGACGGCGAAACTTCGAGACAAGTCGGCGGTATGCCGGGGCGGAGGCGGGCGAAGACCCGGAAGTCGTCTGTCGGTGGAGGCAGCGGTTTGCGTTGCCCCTGACGACGCGGGGGCAACTGTTGTTGCCATTGATTCTGCGGAGCTGCGCTGACAGGGTCTGCGGTGGTCCCCGCAGCAGCTGGGGCTGGGCGTCTGGCGCCGACGGCAGCTGCGTAGGAGGGCTTCGTCGGAGGGAGGTTGGTGTGCGTGCCGGCGAGTACGTCGGTCCAGTACTGCAGGAAGCTGCTAGAAAACTTCTGGGCGAATTGAAGTGCGGGTCCAGAAGTGAACTGTTTCGCCGTGTCGTCGAATGAGGAGCAGAAGGCTTTGAACACGGCTAGTTTGGCGCTATAGACCTCGTTCTGGGCGAGCACGAGCTTGTCGGCGGCATTAGTGATTGAGACGGGACCGTCACCGGGCTGCGGGTCGGGTTCGCTAGCGTCGAAATGGACAGCGCGCTGAGCTCCTTCCGTGGCTACAGCGTAGGAGACCGCGTGAAGCGGCGATGACGGCGTGTATGCCGTCCGTAGCGCAGAGCGCGAGACGCCGATCTCGCCCTCACGGGTGGCGGGGCTGTTGCGCAGAAGGGCGACACGCGCTCCTCTGGCTAGGCCGGAGGGGGTCCTGGGACCCAGATCGAAAGGATCATCATTATGAGGCGGGCTGGACGAGGCCGATGCCATCGCCGCCGCCGCCGCCGGCTGCGCAGAGCGCAGGATGGGCGGATTACGGTGTACCTGTTAAGGAATAAGGTGTGTATTAGGCTACTTTCTTAACAGTTGCATGCCAAGAAGGTAAAAATGCAGGGAAGGATGGACCGGCCGCCGGCGCCTCAGGCAGCAAGCCAGTTTGGCTGCTAACCTAGACAACAGCCAAGAAACCAGCCGCCATACAACCTGATCCAGCAGGATCTTTGTACATTAGAATCGGCAGCCTAGCACGTCCTTTGCCCCAATAGGGGCTTTCTGCTATCACTATAGCTCCCGGACGTTAAATAAATATCGTATCGTATCGTATCGCGGGTCTCTCGGAGAAGCTCGATTACGTCTAACTTACCTGTGCAAGAGGATTCTGGACTGGGCGGGGTCTTCCCCGCGGACGGGAATGCCCCTTCGCCGACCACAGCGCCTTAGACGGCAGTGTAACGGGCCCGACCAGGGCCCACGCGAGTTGCAGAGCTCCATTCAGGAGCTTGCGCTCTTCCTCCCGTTCTTCTCCAGCATTTAGGAGATCGCTGCAGTCGAACAGCTATTCGTCAACACACTAACATGAAATTGTTACAGGTGGTAACGACAGCACAGGGCTGATTCCATCATTCTCCTTTCTTCTGTGGTCTCAATGATGATGTTGTTGCGGCGGAATACCTATGGAGCAAGCGCTAGCTAGGAGTAGAAATGGGAGATATTGTCCGTTTCGCTGAAAGCGGCGAGCATTCAGCGAAGAGCCCGAGGTAGCCGCCCGCATGCTCGATCCTCGTAGGTCATGGTCCCCATGTCTTGCTTCCCCAAGACGCTGCCTCGGCCGCACATTCTGGGTGTTTGCGAACTTGCGGACTATTAGCTCCCCAAGATAAATTTCAGCAATTGACTGTATGCCAAATATGGATCAAGTAGACCGATGGTCTGACACCTCTGTTTTCAGACCCAGCAATGGCTTGACCAAGGTTCATGGGCAAGAGTCCAAGCACTTTGGGATGGCCGATGGGAACGAGCGATCAGGGGCGATCATCCCTCCTTCTCCGCCGCAGAGCCGCATCAGGCAATGGAAGCTGGTCAGTGCAGCCGTGACAGCTGGGGTGCTTGACAAGGGTAAACGTCCTTCAGCGCGTGGCGATCATTGCCCTGTCCAGCGGCATGATAGCCGCACGAGGGCACGCGGACGGAGCGGCTGAGAGATCGACATGAACGATACCAACAACTGCCACCGAACTAGTTTAGCTCCCTCGCTCATTCGTCATGACAAACAGGGGGATCACCGTGAACGGGTAGCTGAGCCCTCTGCCAAACCATGGGGAGCGGCACGGGCCAGAAATTCTTGTTTTAATTAGCACCTGATGCAGGGGGTAAGTGGTACTGTAACTGCAACTGCAAGGACCACCCACTACAGCGCCTTGAGTGGGACGTCCTCCAATGCCCTGTCCTCGACTTGTGGTGTGTCATGGGCATCCTTGTCTTGGTTAAGATGTGGTATCCTTGGGCGAATGGGTTGGCTTTCGGCGGCGGCCCGTGCCGAGTTCAGACCCTCCCGTCACTGGCTGCAAGGTTGGCGGTTGACCAAAAAAACCCCCTTCATTTGGCAGCCTAGGCAACCGAAACAGCCCTCTGACTAACCAGGCCACAACGGGTTCGGGCGTTTGCCGATCATGACTTGCTAATCCTTGTCGACCGTTGGCCCCTTGGACGCGTGCAACCTCGGTCAAGATTTGCGTTCAATCGTCCATCCTTGATGTTTGGTATTTAATCGTGCCCAAAAACATCTTCGTTGTCGAAATAAACCTTTCCTCAACGCCATAAGAGCAATGAAGTCTCCTACCTGGACGCAGCTAATCGCGCTGCAGTTCCCCGTGCTTGTGGCTGCTGCATCGTCGCAGCTTCAACAAGACGGCCTGGTCTTCACTAGCAATGGAGGACATAGATTGGGGCCCCTCAAGAGTGGAACAGGCCAGTTGATGGTTCGACAAGAACTCCAATGCTTAACTCCAGGATGGGGTAGGTCCTCGGTGCATTTCCAAGTATGCCATGTGTCACTTACCGATACCATCTGAAAGTCCCCTGTGGGCTCGACGGCTGCCGACCACCCGACGCGTCTTGCTGTGGAACCATGTACTACTACTACCCAGAATCCGAATTTTGCTGTCCTGGGGGGACTGGCTCGTGCCGACTCGCAACAACGTGCTGCAGCACAGCATTTTGCTGCAAACAAGGGGCGACCTGCGGCGCCGATGGCCGGTGCTCTGTCTCCAGCCAGCCAACGGAGACAGTGTCAACTCAATCAACTTGGTCAAGTCAAACTCTTAAGCCCACAGTTTCTGACAGCAAATCGACACGCACTGTCAGTGCCACGTCTGCTGTTTCTGCGGAGGAAACATGCTCCGTCGCTGCCAATAAGCGGGCGTCCCTGGTTACATTCACCATACCTTTCCAGGAGAGGTATACGACGATTCCAAACTCTGGCGGTAAAAAAGGCTGTCTTGACAATAGAGAGGTAGGTATAATCCTTTTCTGACTGACTGATCAACATCTCTTGGGCTGCTCCCTAACTGCGTCCGCAGTTGATGAGCAGCATGTGCAAAGGTGAGCTAACATGCAGCACGGACGCTCAATTCCAACGCCGCTGGGGCAAACTTTCTCTTTACTGACTCATACGCAGGAATTAAGAAGGCACGAGGCTGTGTTGCCGAGGAGATGAAGCTTACATACAAGCCGGAGCTAGCTGGCTCCAATCGAGAGCAAATGTGCCCAAAGAATTTTTGCCGTGAGTCTGATCTAAGTGCACGGCAAATATTTGCGCCGGCTAATATTCAAGTCCCTCAAAATGTGGAATGTGATCCGACGAAGCCTTCAAAGCCGTGCAACCCGTATGCCAGCTATATGGTAAACCCTATAAATAGCTATAAGTATGATCGATTTCATCTGTCTTGTGATGAATTTCCATTTGGTGAGCCATCTTCATCTATTTCTGCATTACTGCCATGCCAGTATCCTAACGCGACTTGTCCAGCGGCGTCGGCACAAGGAGGTACGGGAACTGCCATTTGCATTCCGGGGTGGCAAAACAGTTTCCAAGGAGGAAAACTCAACAGGCTGAAAGCGAAGGTGGGTGCGGGCAATGACTACGTCGTGAAACTGGCCGGCTGGAATTGTAAGAGCGGCAAACCAGCATCCGCTACAAATTGCGGTGGCAGGACGAAGAGAGAGGATTGGCGCGGTGAACATCTCACGGAAGGTATGAGTAGTCGCAGCACTACTAAAAAGTTTTGATGGGTCTGGCTGACATCGGACGATGTAGGTGACTTCTTCACTAACTTCACTGATTCTGGAGACAATGCTTTGATGCTGTACCTTGGAGACGCCTCGCCTGGAACGTATGTCTCATGCTCCGTGAAAACTGCAAGGCGATAGGGATTCTAACAGAAACCTTGACATACTAGCTACACTTATAATATCACCGTCGGCTCCGGGACATTTTACGATGTCCTGGCAATCGATGGCCAGGGCAACACGATCTGGGAGGCCGAGGGCGGATTTCAGGCCGGCAATGGACCCCAGATAGTGTCTTTCAACGTCACCGCGTCAGTCAGCGGTGTGTCACTCTGGGCGTTTACAGAGAACAGAACCGCCATTGTGTCATATAACGTGACGTCCGCACCGCTGCCAGTCTCTACGTCCACTGGGAAGCAAAATTCAGTCACAGCCGCGGTTCTGGTTTGGGTTTCGACGATTATTTTAACGTTTACAAACTGTTTCCTGTAGGACACAGGCCCGCCTATTCTACTGTAGCAGTTGTCTATTGTGGTCATTGTCGCACGGTTACGTCCTCATAGCTTGTCACACAGCGCTGCCCTCAGGTCAGATTAACAATCAGATATATCAGATCAATCAATTCAGATACGGAATTTTATCAGGCCATCAGATCAGGTTTGGAGAGCCGATCTGAGATATCTGATATCGCCTCGGATTGTGGCCGCCGCCTACCTACGCCATGCGCTGGGTCTAAAATTAGCAGCATCATCAACTCTCCCCCGTAAGAATTCTTGCTTGCCTGGAGCTGTTAACGCCAAGCTGAGCCATGTATTTCTCACAGGCCAAATGAAAGCACCTGCAGCTCGACGCCCATCGTGGCTCTAAGAGCTACTTTGACGAAGGGATTTGGAGAGTTCGCCTTCGCTCGCGGTGCTCGTCGCCACATACTGACGTGCACTTGCATGGGTATGGAGTACATGGACGTTTATCCCAACCCAAGTTCCGATTTCTGGACTTCGCTACGTGGCGTCTCTTGCTGCCGTGTCCGCCAGTTCCTGATTAGAGATGAGATCATCTGACTGTGGCCAGGTGCGGTGTCCGCCGGCGCCCCGGCGACCGGCCCGGACGCCATCTTCGCCTTTACTCCGACTCTCCAACTCTGCTGCCACGGAAGGGGCACAACCCGCATACGTGTCGTACAGGCCTTCGTTGGAACCCATTCTAGAGCCCGTCTCCATCGTCGAAGGCGCCAACAGGGTCGCCCAAGTGCAAACGGATGCCTATAACGCCAAATTAGCAGTCTTCCATGCATTCTGCGAATCATTCGACCAGGCCGCGAAGCAATTCACGTCTGGCATTGAGCATAGCTTCGCAAACCGATTCGCCACCAGCTTCCTCGATTTCTGGCGCCAGTCTCTCTCGATAATGCCGCCCGTGACGGCGCCGACGTACAGCAGCGTCGTCGCCGGGCGCAGCCCTCGCCAGCCCCCTGGGGGCCACGCCACTACCACTGCTGAGGCCCCGCCGCCCGCACCACAACAAACAGCCGACATACGTCTCCAGGGACGACCAATCCCCGCCCCACCGAAAGAGGACCTCCGGGTCTTTGTGCGACTTGACGCCGAAGCACAGGCGAGGAAGCGCGAATCGTACGCGATCCGGACCCACATCGCCGCGAAAGCCGGCATCGACCTCCACCAAATCCCGGCAGCCTTTCCCGTAAACTCGGGCTGGGCTATTCGCACCGCGGACGCTACCACCAGAGATCTCATCGTCCAGCGCCAGTCCGAATGGGCTGACGATCTCGGCGCGAAATCCGTTGAAGTCAGCAAGAAATGGTACACCTACGTCGTATCCAATTGTCCTCGCAGGCTCACTGATCTCCAAGGCAACGAAGCCGACTACGACGAAGCCGTCAAAGGCGAAATTACCTGCCAAACCGGCCAGACGGCCGTCAACATCCGCCCTAGTCGTCACGACTCGAACGATTTTCCTGTCAAAACACTCCTCGTGTCTTTCCTCAAACCCACGCAGAAACCCTGGCGGCTTTTCGGCCCCAGCAGACTCGGCCGATACATCGACAAACCCGCCCCGCCCCGCCAATGCGACAAATGCTGGGACTTTCACGCCCGACATAGCTGCGACCGCCGACTGTCCCGCAAGCGATGCGGCAAGGCTGGACACGACGACTCCTCTTGCGCAGCGCCGGAGCAGTGCGGCAACTGCCTCGGACCGCATGCCGCAGATTTCCTGAAATGCCCGGCTCGCCCCATACGATCCCATGGCGCCTTCCGCCGATTGACCAAGGAAGAGAAAACCCGCGTCCGAGAAATGGGCGCCCAGCTATCCGCCCAGCTAAGGCAAGGCACGGCTCAGGCGGACGCGCTCCCCCCACCCGACGGAGGATCGCCTCAGACCGTGAACCCCTCACCCGGACCGGCGCCATTGAGCGCACCTGAGGCGAACGACCGCCCTAGCCCTTCTGCTCCTGGTAGCACGCCCGGTAGCACGCCCGGCAGCACGCCCCCCAGCGCTCCCCAGCCCACCGACAGCCAAATCGAGCCTGAAGCCAACACTTCAAGAGCTGAGGGCGAGACCTCGACTCTCAGCCCAACCATGACTATAACCCCACCATACATCATCGTGGATACGACTCCTCGGCCCGCGAGCAGACCTGCCTCTCCTTCGAAGAAGCGACGCATCGACCCCATCGCGCATGATCCATGACGAGGCATACCCGTGCTCCACAAAACGGCAAGAAGACTCTGCGAATCTTCCAAGCGAACGTGGGCAAGATCCCGCCGGCACACGACTGCGCCCTTGCCCTTGCAGACTCTGAGCAATACGACGTCGTCCTGCTGCAAGAGCCCTGGACAGAAGCAAAATATGGCCGCTGTCTCACCAAAACTCACCCAGCATATGATCCTTTTCTCCAATCGATAGCTGGACCAACAATACTACCCGCCCAAGAGTCATGACATACGTCCGGCGACGCCCCGGCCTAACGGCCAACCAAAGACGTCCCGCGACAACTCGTGACATTCTGTGGATCACCATCAACAGTACAACCTTAGTCAACTGCTACCGACAGCCTGACTTCGACGGGGCTCTTGACATACTCCTTGCCTGGAGCCCGCCGAGCAGGTGCTTGATCGCGGGAGACTTCAATGCGAAACACTACAGCTGGCAGACCGGTCGTCTCGACGGCCGAGGAGACGACATCGCTCACTGGGCAGCAGAGAATCGTCTCAGCCTGCTCAATCCGACCGATGTGCCCACAAACCCGCATGGGAATACCATAGACCTTGCCTTCTCGAACGTACCGCTGTCGGAGGCAGTCGTGGAGGACCATCTGGCCACTAGCTCCGACCACTTCACGCTCAGCATAGCGCTCCCTGAGGTGGGCGTAGCGCCAATATCACCGAGAAAAGTCCGCGTCACGACGGATGACGAGATCAAGCGGTTTGTAGATCTCGTCCAGTATGGGTCAGCGGACATTCCAGCCCCGACGACAACTACCGACGACCTCGATGCTCTTGCATCCGCCCTGGTGCGCCTTCTCCAAGCGGCGGCGAAAGTTGCTGGTCGCCCCGTTCGAAAGCAAACCCGCAGCGCCCCATGGTGGACCGAGGAATGCCGCCTCGCCGCAGCGGAATACCGCGCGATCAGAAGAGTCCACCCCCTTGGATTTTGTCGGGACGTTCAGCTCGCCAAGAAGGACTTCCAGAAGGTTGTCCGGCAAGCTAAACGGCTATACTGGCGCAACCTCATCGACAGTTTTAACGACAGTGCGTCTGTTTTCAAGGCTGTCCGATGGTTGAAGTCGCCAGGTGCCTTCCAACCACCCCCCCTTGAGGTGGATGGCGAGGTACACGAAACACAGCTCGACAAAGCCAATGCCCTCGCTGACCGCACCCCACGAAGGTGTTAGCTATGATGCCCATACCGATGCAGGCAGAAGACGTCGACGTGTTTCTTCCCGACCGTGAACCAGAGCCAATCGATAGCAATTATAGGTGGGATGAATAGCTGGCATATGCCGGGATGACAGGAGAGAAAGACTATAGATCAGTTGGAAATAACGCCGTGTGATGCGCCATTTCAATCAGCATTCATTGAACCACGTCTTTGCTGGTGGCTCCTTTTGCTGCGTCAATCGGCATTTCGACAGTAGAAACAGCTGTCATACACCTGCTGCCCCACACTAGCTGTCCGACGATCGTCTGGGTGACATTGTATCCTCTGGCTGCTTTCCGACTGAGCGAAATCATAACGGCTGAGAGTCCATCACACTAAGACTAGGATTAAGACGACTTAGCCTTTTATGCCAGATGCATTCAATAAAGCGTGTTTGCAAAGCAAGGTTCGGCGCGACGTCATGATGACATTAGTGAAATCCCCTGTTGCCTCCCGTGGCTATGCGAACATATGATCCTGCTCGAGCCACGAGCTTCACAGTCCGCTGGCAATAACCGGTACGCTAGTTAACTTCCCGTATTGTAACGTGCCCGGCGACGGATGGCTGTTGGGTTAGACCTAAACCTAGAGGGCCGGGCAGCTGGGGAAGGTGGCAGAGAGTGGGAGCCCCACCTCCGCCCCAGGGGGGGAAAGGATTATAGACAGTTGGGGGACAAGTCATTCCGGACGCATTTCGATCAAGGGTCTTCGATCAAGGGTCTTCGATCAAGGGTCTTCGATCAAGGGTCTCGTCTACCATTTGACTGTCAAGGTTGAAAGATGTCCAGCCCGACCAAGAAGCGGAAGTTGAACAATAGGGGCGGGACTGCGGCAGCCCAGCCAAAGGGCCTGGAGTATTTTTTCTCCAAGCCAAGGCAGGCTGAGAATCCTAGACCAGCGCCCTTGGAGACCGACACTCCGAACAGTGACTCGACTAGACGCACAGACGAGGAGCTAGCACGGAAGCTCCTGGCCGAGTACGACTTGGTAGTTGCCAATGGAGCAACGGAAGACGGCGGAAGCACAAAAGTCAAAGGAGCTGACAAGGGTCCCGCGAAGGTCGAGAAGGACGATCTTCTACTGGGGAGTCGAACGCCACGCCTCAACGGTTAGGCAAAACACTCGCGCTCCAATCCACTGGCACAGCCGAAGACACTGTCACGTCTTCAATGCCACTTGATGAGTCGCCGCTCGTCTTTGACCCTTCACGATATGTGACTCAGCTCCAATAACACTGGGCAGCAGATGGAGGGAACGCCTCATATGGACTGCTCACCAGGTGCTTCGTTCTTGTCAATGCGACAACGAGTCGCACAAAGATTGTGGACACTCTGGTCAACTGTCTGAGGGTTTTGATTGAAGTCGATCCATCGAGTCTTCCTCTGCTGTAAGTTCTATGCGTGGCGCGATAAGGGTGAGCTAACATGTTTCAGGTCTGGCTTGCAACCAACTCGATATCACCAGCCTACATTTCTCTTGAGTTGGTATTGGGCGGATCGGCGATATAGAAGGCTCTAGAGCATGTATGCGACCTGGACAGTCGATCGCTCAAGGCCATTTGCGACAAGTACGGCGATGCTGGTGATGTTGCGTTTGAGGCAAAGAAGAAGCAAAGCTTCACCTTTCGAAAGCCCAAGCCTCTGTCTATCAAAGGGGTTTACCAATCATTGGTCAAGATTGCTACAACTCAAGGCCAGGGCAGCAACGAAGTGAAGCAACGAATTGTCGATCGACTGCTGCAAGATGCTCGAGGAGGCGAAGAGAGCCGATTCATAGTGCGAACTCTTTGCCAGCGTGTCAGTGATTCATGAGCCTATACCCCGGAGCCTGAACTCACGCTGCTGCAGCTAAGAATAGGCGCCGTCAAGACGACAATGCTTGTAGCCCTATCTCGAGCCTTTCTGTTATCGCGGCCCGGAGAGGCCGACTTCCCCTTGCAATCGGCACCAGAACTGTCCAAGCTCAAGAGGGAAGAATTGGCCGAAGTATGGGGCAAGGCCGAAGAGATCGTCAAGGCATGCTTTGCAAGACATCCCAACTACAATGACCTGATACCAGTTCTTCTCCAAATAGGTGTCACGGAAGAGCTGCTGGTGTGTTGCGGCTTGACTCTACACATCCCGCTGCGGCCTATGCTGGGTAGTATCACCCGCGATTTGTCAGAGATGTTGACCAAGTTGCAAGGCCGGGACTTTGCATGTGAGTTCAAATATGACGGCCAGAGAGCACAAGTCCACTGCGATGAGAAGGCGAATGTGTCCATCTTCTCACGCCACCTGGATCTGGTGACGGACAAGTACCCTGACCTTGTGGAGCTGGTGCCCAAGATTCGCAGCGAAGGCGTGAGCAGCTTCATCATGGATGGGGAACTTGTGGCTGTCGACCGAGGCACAGGCGAGCTCAAGAAATACCAGGCGTTGACGAACCGCGCTAGGAAGGATGTGGACATCGGAAGCATCACCATAGATGTGTGCCTGTTTTCGTTTGATCTGATGTACCTGAACGGACAGCCACTCCTCGATCGACCGTTCCGAGAGCGTCGAAAACTTCTGCGAACACTATTCACAGAAGTGCCTCACCACTTTACATGGGTCAAGAGCCTTGACGCAACATCCGTAGATTCCGAGGCCGTGTTGGACTTCTTCAAGTCAGCCATCGAGAGCAAGTGCGAAGGGATTATGGTCAAGATCCTGGACAACTTACGCGACGTGCCATATGCCGACTACGCCCCGGAGCAACCACAACCACTCAAGTTATCCGAGAAACTCTCGACACCAAATTCAAAGCCAAAGTTGAAGCAGAAATCGAAGAACGGGACGGCTGTCAGTGGTGAAGAGGGCAAAATCAAGTCTCGAAGGAAACCGCTCTTAGCCACGTACGAGCCGGACAAGCGACTGGACTCGTGGCTCAAGGTCAAGAAAGACTACAACTCAAGTTTCGATACCCTGGACTTGATCCCTATAGCCGGCTGGCATGGACAAGGCCGCAAGGCGAAGTGGTGGTCACCGATCTTGCTGGCGGTGCCCAATGAGGAGACGGGAATGTTCGAGGCGGTGTGCAAATGCATATCTGGCTTCACCGACGCGTTTTGCCAGGCGAATAAGCAGTTTTACGACAATGGCGACGAGAGCGGCGAGCCGAAAAACGTTCGGTTTCAAAAGCCGAGTTACATAGAATACAACGGTCCAGGCCCGGATGTGTGGTTTGAACCGCAAGAAGTCTGGGAGGTGGCGTTTGCAGACATTACTCTGAGCCCGACTTATACGGCGGCGATTGGCCTGGTGAGCGACGAGAGAGGACTGAGCCTGCGGTTTCCACGATTTTTGAAGAAGCGAGAGGACAAGGGCATTGAGGAGGCCAGCACCAACGAGTTTCTAGCCGGGCTTTGGAGGAAGCAGGAGGCAAAGGCCGTGACCGAGAGAGATTCAAAGGCAGCTGGTGAGGAAGAGGCTGGGGAGGTGTGAGGCGACAGCGCAGTGACTTTGCTGCTCAGGGCCATCCATGCCCATGCACGCGATCATAATAGGGCATGGAAATAATCGTCAGGACCTCATCTAGTCTGGACATTAGGCGCCATGTTATTTGCCTGCATTTAGTTGCGACCATTATCGGAGATTCTGGCAGGTGCAGGTTGGAGCGCTGTGTAGTCGAGCTATCAGAGCTGCACTGCGGCGGGGGTTGGTCTTTGTATGCGTTGGACTTGGTGAAATTCCCTTGACACAGCCAAGAGCCACTTCCTGGCCGTCACACGCAAGGGCAACGGCGTGCAGCAGTGAGTTCCAGGAGACCAGTAGGCGCTCTTCTGCCCGGGCCCAGCTTTTCCACCAAGCCCTGACATCACGCACCTGACTGAGAACTGACTTAGAGGTCAGAGAGCCCGAGCCAGCGCATTGCGTCTCCTGGGATGATCTCGGTGTCACCTTGGAGCATGGAGGGCCGAGAGAGGTCCTCCTTCCGAGAGAAATGCATCACCCCGGTTCTGTCCGGGTTGAAGGTGACACCGTTGGCGAACCCCCAAGTGAAAAGCTCCCTCAAATCTGGGCGCGAGGGCAGTCGTTTCTTCAAGCATCCGCCCAGTACGTAGCATTGCTGTATCATCTGCATAACCAAAACGACCATCAGATTTCCCGAGGCGGTAAATAGGAGCAATGTACAGAGCGAAGAGAATTGGCGACGCTGGTGAGCCTTGTGCAAGGCCATCTCGAAGAAGCGACGCTCGCGATATGACGTCCTGGAATCGGACCGCGGCCGAGCGGTCTTGCATGAACGAGCCGGCCCACCTGACGAGATGAGGTGGCCACCCTTGATGCCTGAGTCGGAGGATAAGTCGACTGCGCATGACGGTGTCAAAGGCTCCTTGCACGTCCATTGTGATATTGTAGCGACTTGGCCATGGGCCAGGGTTTGACCATCCGAATCCGCCACCACGAAGATATGGCATCCCTTGGGCCATTGCCTGTTCTACCACACACCCAAATAAACTCAGTGGCACTCTTTTTGGCCCAAGAAGCGGCCCCAGTCAAGTCGACACACCACTATCACACGGCTGGGGCGGACATGGATATCGGCAGCCCACCCACCAAGGGTCGAGGACCAAAGCACGAAGCGACCAGCGCATGACAAGATCACGCCAGAGACCACTCCAAACGGCTCGACAGCCGGCGCCAGGAGCGTCTGGATATATCAATTGTCGATGACGCACGGATCGGAGACTGAGTGAGCTTATTCTCGGGCAGATCACTGGAGCGTACAGGTCTATCATCCGTTCACAGACGTAGCCAAGCCATACGCCTTGATGTATAGACCGCAAGTCATCTTCCAAACTCTTCTAATCCGCTGTATGTTCTAAAATCATGTTCGTTGGAACTCTATCAGATTGTATGTTGTGCGGCCGGGATGTAGGCCGCACAACATGTGTTACCATGCAATCTTCGCAACGGGCTCGTTTGGGAACAGGCGAACAGCCAACTTGCGGATCTCGTCCATGCACAGAATGCCGAGGGCAAGAGGCAGCGGGATGAGCCAAAACTCGGTCGGTACCGAGGCAGTGCCGAGAGGCTCTGGATGCCAGGGACCTCGGTGACGAACACCGCAATCGCCAGACTGATAGCCATGCTGAGAAGCAGCCACGGGTTCCGCCTCTTCTCGGTGAAAGGGTCGGCCTGGAGAATACGTGCAAGTAAAGACGCAGAAATGCTGTCCTCTGCCACGAAATTGCTGCACGCCCTAATTCGATCATTCTGCGACGGCACAGGCAGACGAACTGACGTAGTGCTGGCGGGAGACTTCAACGGCCACGACCTACGAGATGTGCGAGCAACGAGAACGAGGGCTTGGCGGAGGCAAGATTAGGGGCTCGACTGGCATCTAGCCCCATAATTCCTTACCCCGCATTTGCAGCCGCATTCGCAGCCGCAGTCGCAGCGATCCCCCTTAAGACTCAAATTCACTTTCACCGCGACCAGACCTCAAGCACGGCAGCGATTCTCAACGCCGGACGCGACGCGCGGTGTTGCCGTTTGAACCAGCGGCACCCCCTACTGTTACAGATTCGCCGGCTACTGAGCACCGTCGAGCCAAACCACACAAACTTATTGGCAGCAAAGGCGTTCAGCTTATCCATCACGGCCGAGATGCCCGGGCAGCACTGTCCATTAACCATGCCCAGTCATAGTCGACCCGAGATTGACGACAATACTCTTGAAGGCACACTAGATGTCGTCCGTGCGTCATGTCGGTCGGCCTGTGAACACCTTCGCAACTCTGCAGACTTGGATTTACTCGGCCACGATGGTAACGCTTCCGTCTCAGCTGCCGCTCGCAACTGACCGTGTTCCAGATCTCCGAAACCTGACGTTGGATCTCTTATCTGCAATGAGGAACCTTGTTGCCACCCAACACCTTCCGTCAAGAAATTGCAATGACAGTCTGAGAAAGGACCTGATGAAGCTCATATGCGCTGTAGCCTCCAACGACTTTGACCTCAACTATGTAAAACCCTTAATGAGCGCAGCCATCGCCGACAACTCCAGTGACGGTCTTATTTGGGAACAAGTCTACCACGTCATTGACGAGTACAGCCAAAGGACGAACATGGATTCTTCAGCCCCTTGAAGCCCTTTATCGTGGTGTTCAGAAAGCCGTTCAGGATGTGCTTTGTATGGGTATGGAGATGAGCGCTGAAGAAGGAGTCGAAGAATGGGATTAGTAGTTTGTGGGTGCAGTTACGGGAGAAAGAGGCATTTTGGGGGTGGCTTGACTTGCAGTTCGTTGGGGAGTCGCGGCGGCCGGATCATCGACTGGGCCATCGACATTCAGACCCGGACGAAGGTCGCCTTGCGGGACGCGAATGAAGACGGACAAGATGCCACGGGTACTGGTTCGTCCAATTCCTTCATGTGGACGGCGTCGTCTAATTCCAGACATGCCGCTCGCTGATGTGGAGCCGACACGAAGTCCCAGGGGTTTGTGCCGTCTAAGTGTCGACTATGGAAGTGGCGGACATTGTGCAAAGCGTGACAAGCAGGTCACCGTTGCGCGAGCGATCTTGGCACATTCTTCGGGTGCACGCTACGTCGCGGCTAAAGTCGGCTTCCTGACGTCGTCCGGTGGCACCTCGTGCTGCCGCGTCCGTCGCTTCCTGCCGTCCAGTCTCTGCTTGTCGTTGGCTGCTACAGGTCATGTCACTTTCTCGACGTCGTTTCGTGGAGGTGGGTCCATTTCTATGCAAGACGTTACGGGGCCACAGTACTTGATTCTGGATATGTAGATCTAGTGCAGTAAGCTGCTACCGCGTTCAAATGCGACCACGCGATGCCGAGGAACACGCATGTGGACGCAAGTCGAGAGTAGCGGCAGCAACGTCACAATGGTAAGCACTTAGCCGTTGCTGTACGTTTGTATTGCGGGACGGTAGCCACACCATCATCTGGACCTGTCATTTTATCCAATTACGGTTATTGCCAGGGCCAGTATGGCCCAGGTACAGTAGAGACGAGGATACGGCGTCCTTCTGCTGTATCCAGAAACTGGTCTAAGACGGGGTGGTAATGGAGGTAGTCGTATGTGGACATAGGCTCGCCCATGACGCCTTTGCGGCTCTTATGATTGTAAGAGACCGAGGGCCAGAATAGGTCGCGGCAACAAACCGCCATAGCGGCGAATGGATGCGATGGCCCTCGCGGCAAAATCACGCCTGTTACGGCCACTTGTCCAGCTGGAGAGAATGCAACCGGGATGACACTGTAAGGCAAAGGCATAAACCAACCTTTTTTTTAGTGAGCAAAGCGAGTCAGTTCCCCAGTGGCCATCTTGTCGACTACCTACTGCCGGGTCGGGGGTGCGGGAATAGCACCCCATGGGGGCAAGAGACAGATCACCGTAGCACACTCTCTCTTGGCACAATTCTCCAGGTGCATGCTACGTCGCAGCTGAAAGTCGGTTTCTTGACGTCGTCTGGTGGCATCTCGTGCTGCCGCGTCCATCGTTTCCTGCCGTCCAGTCTTTGCTTATCATTGGCTACCACAAGTCATGTCTCTTGTCAACGTCTTTACGTGGAGGTGTGTCCATTTCTATGCAGGACGTTATGGGGTCACAGGACCTGATTCTGGATGTGCAGAGTCAGCTCCCAAGTGGCCATCTTGTCGACATCACCTGCAGCCCGGTCGGGGGTGCGGAAATGGCACCCCATAGCGGCAAAAGGTGAACTACCGTGACCTCATCCACGCACCCGCCAGAAACTCATCCCGGCAGCCAAAGCCGGTCCCGGAACCCTCCATTTCTGGAAGCCATGCTGAAAGGTGACAATCTCCCAGCTCTGATGGCTTTTCCCGAAGGTCATGCAAGGCCAAAACCTGTCTCTTATACACATCTAGATGTGTATAAGAGACAGGGGTAATAGCGGCCCCATGTTGGGAGGAAGTGGACAATCGCTCGTCATTCCCCAGCCACCCCCACACCACACAGAAGCCGTCATGGAAGGCCACAACCTGCGTCGGCCAGTTTCTCACGATCTGAGTCGTTACACGTAAAGCCCATGCAAGGCCACTTGTGGCCATTTGTAGGCGTGGAGTGAGCCACCGCAACACTCACAGCCACCCCCACCCCCAACCCCTTGGACTTCAAGCTGTGGAAGCCATGCTTGATGGCCGCAAGGCTCCTTGCGCTGCTGCGTCGCCCATCGTCCAGTTTCTGAAGATCTGTCAGCGTTACAAGACGCTCATGCAAGGCCAATACCTGAAACCCGCAGCGGTGAGCGGAAGAGGGAGAATAGGTGCCCCATGGCGGCAACAAGCGGATAATCGCGCCCCGCATGGCGATCTTCTCGTCAAGTCTCGTCTAGTTCTGGATGTCGCTGGCCGAAGCGGACGATCCGGCCCGGTCATTCCGCAATGAGCCGCACGGCAAGGACTGGCCGTCACCACGTAACGGCGGCGAGAAACAAACATGCACTGTAGCTGCTCCA